TTCTGGATTTTTTTTCATCAAAATTATTTTAAAAATTATCTTTTTCACATTGGTGCATTGTCTTCATAAATACTATTTCCAGTAGCTACCAAATATTTCATTGGATATATTGAGCTGTCACATATACTAGCCAAGCTCATGTTAAATGTTCAAGAAGCTTCTAATTTTCCCCTCCTATAATTTATGCTGCAGTTGGCAACTTTGCAATACAGGAGGCTAGTTAACCTCTAAACCACAGTTTATGTTAAGTTTTCAGAAGTATATTTTTCTTTCTTAAGAAAAGTATTAATTAACTTTTTCCATTTAAAATTATTTTCTCTAGTCCAAAAAAAAAATCGTGAAAATATTAAAGGATAAATAACTTGTGCACAGTACCCTCTAAAGACTAAATCTCAGAAATTCCTTCTCCTCTGGTCCAACTGCATTGCTGAAGAAATAGATAACATTAGGCAGAACACAGTCCCAGCCATCATCACCATAATCAAAATTATCTTCCTTATGATCATCCAACTGATGGACTTAATAGGAACACCAGAGTGAAGCCTGACAATGAGAACTGCACTTGGGGAGAGTAAATGCACAAATGAGTGGCACCACCAATCCTTGTAAGAATTTGCAAACGCGCTATATGCTAGACACTGTGCTAAGACTCTTGGGATGTAATAAATTATGAGTACACAAATGCCACGTCCAACTTGTCAAGGAACAGGTCAGCCCTTATCCTCCTGTTGAAATAAAGATCAATCTTCAACAGTTTCCTGGACTCTTTATTATTATTCAAACTCTTATCTATTTAAAGTCCTTGTCTGTTTTGCTCCTCTTCAGTTGCTAATGGTGACTGCTCTGGGACTTTTCTCCATACTGGTTCAGCAAGTCCAGGCAGGTTCTGCCTCAAGGGCTCCTGGGCCAGAGTCTTTTAACGACTCACCCATCCCTCTAAGTTTTTGACCATTCACCTTAGCTGGAATCATTTACTCAGACCAAGTCAGTAATTCAGAGCTAAGAAAAGCAGCTTGTGGGTGGCTTTCCTGAAGCAAAATGGCAGATGACATAGTTGGGGCAACAGCCTCTGGGCTAGGCAACCACATGGGCTGGACACTCCTGTGTAGAGAACACCTTGTAAAGTATGGGGAAAAGAAAAAAGAAAGTGAAGTCCTCTTACAGTTGCCCTCAAAGAGCTTGCCGTCCTGTTCAGGAGTTGAGTCCATATGCAGTGCCAAAACTGTAGCGTACAGTGAGAAGGTACCTTACAAATGGTTACGAGTACACCAGTGGGTGTTGGAAAAGGAACAGGCAAGGTCATGCAAGGATCATCATTCCCTCAACAAGGCATTATGACCTTAAGAGAAGCAATTCCATAAAGAAATGCAAGATGCATCTAGCCCTGCAGCTATTTACAATCCAGTTGTCAAGGCAAGAGATACTGAGGTAAAAGTTAAAATGTAATAGAATGCGGTGTTACATGTAATTATGTTTCAAGGGAGTGAAAAAGACTAGAGTAACCTGAATTTAGGGGAAAGGAGGGAGAGATTAACGAAGGCTTGACAGTGCAGTAGTTTCAAGCAGGGTTCAAAGAGATAGGTGAAGCAAGGGACGAGGCCAAATATGGTTGGATCAGAGCCTGGCTGGAGAGGATGAGGGACACAGTTGTGTAAAAATTAAGGTCAGAAAGCTGTGAAGATGGCAGTGTGTCCTTGGATGCTGCATTGATTGCTCTGACCTTTACTCTTGTGGGTAGTTGTGCAAAGCTTGTGAGCCAGGGGATGACATCATGAAAATGGGAGTCCAGAAATGGGAGACTGGAGGCCGAGAAACCAACTAGGAGGCCACTGTGAGCCTCTGGAGAGAAGGTCCTGTTGTGGGAGTGGGAAAGGAAGGATGGATGCAAGGGACACCAGATGGAAGAACTGACAGCGCTTGCCACTGGTTGGATGTGGACAGAGAGGGAGGAGGGACGGATGACTCAGGGAAGCTCTTGGTAGGAAGCATGTTGAGGGGAGGATTTGGAAGCCGGAGATCAGTTTTTGCAAGTGGAAAGGTTTACAACTTGGCAGGAGTCTACTCTTAATTGATTATCTCAAAAAAACCTGTGGCGTTTCTCTGAGCTAGGCAGGCAGTAGGTATCATACTGATTTGAAATGACAAGACCAGGGAGTAACTCCTGGCTCACAGGAAGGGAGAGTAGAAAAAGTACTCTGATCTAGGGATACAAACTCGGCTGAATCCCAGTTTTTTTCTTTTCTTTTTTTCATGAATTCATTTCACATACTTGGACAAAATACAGGCAAAATACCTCAGATATTGCCAGTTTGGTTCCAGGCCACTGCAATAAAGCAAATATCACAATAAAGTGAGTTGCTTGATTTGGGGGGGGGCGGTTTCCCCATTCATAGAGAAGGTATGTTTATACTGTACTGTAGTCTGTTAAAAATACAGTAACGTATAGTAGCAAAATAGTAAAACAAAACAAATCAATGTACAAACCTTAATTAAAAAATACTTTATTGCTAAAAACTGCTAACCATGATGAGCCTTCAGCAAACTGTAATCTTTTTGCAGTAGTAGCGTCAAAAATCCCAATCACAGATCACCATAATGAATACAATAATAATGAAAAAGTTTGAAATATCGTGAGAAGTACCAAAATATGACCGAGATACAATCTGAGCAAAAGCTGTTGGAAAAATGGTGCCGATAGACTTGTCGGGTTGCCACAAAACTTCAATTTGTAAAAAACACAGTATCTGTGAAGCACTGTAAAATGAGGTATTCCGTACTTTAAAACTCATTGGGCGAGTCTCCTTATCTGTAAAATATGTCTATCTTTTCTGTGGGTCTCAGCCCAAATCGCAGCCATTATTTATTTAACACTTTAGCACGCAACGTGATTTGTGTTAAGAACTTTGTCTGAATTTTTTTAATCCTTAGAATGTCCCTTCTGCATTTAAAAAATTTCCAAAGTTTAGTGGCTTAAAACAATATTCATTTTATTTGCTCAAAGTTTTACAATCTGGGCTGGGCGAGGCTTTAAGTTTCTCTTGGTCACTGGTGGGGTCGCAGTCAGCTGGTGGGCTGGCTGGGGGCTGGTCTCAGCACGGATGCTGGATGGCTGGACTCCCTATCTCCAGAAGTCTCTGGGCCTCTTCCTCTTCAAGCGGTTTCTCCAGCAAAGTGGTTGTACTTCTTACCTAGTGGCTCAGATCTCCCAAATGTACAAAAGCAGAAACTTCCACACCTTCTTAGGGGTTAAAAGAGGAACTAGAGTGGCTGCACTGTTGCATTTTCCAAGTTAAGTTAAATCACTGGCTTAGTCCAGATTTAGATGGGAAGGTCTCCATAAGGGTGTGACCAACAGAAGGGTGGTCCACTGAGGGGCAGCAGTGTCACAGACTGCCACAATACTATCTCTAACTTGTAAATGAATAATCTGTGACTTAGGGAGGTTAAATTACTCACCCAATATAGAGCAGAGCTAGGCATTTCAAAGCTTGTGTTCTAAATCAGGGGGAGCAGATTACATCTGTCCACAGTTGTCTCTTGGTATCAGGGGGGAGTTGGTTCAAGGCCCCCTCACCCCACCTCAAGATAACAAAATCTGTGGATGCCCAAGTCTCTTACATAAAATGGCATAGGTTTTATTTTATACAAAATGGTGTAGGTTACATATAACCAATGCACATCGTCCCATATACTTGAAATCATTTCTACATGACTTATAATACCTAATACAATTAAATGCTATGTAAATAGTTGTTGGTGCTCCACAAATTCAAGTTTTGCTTTTTGGAAACTTCCTGGAATCTTTTTTTTCTTCTTTTTAATCCACAGTAGACGTGGAACCCAAGGATACAAAGGGCTGACTCTAATTTGTTTTAACCTAGAATCCTGTGAGGTGGATACTGCTATTGTCCCTAACTTATAAAGGAGGAAAACCAGGAGTAGTTGAAGTATCTTGCCTCAGATGACTCAGGTATTTTGCTCCAGCGATTGATTATACACTTACGTACTAACACTGTACTGCCTCTTAGGGGCAGTATCCCATACAGACAAAGCATCAGTGAATGTTTTTTAATCTGAAACTATTGTTTGAAGCACTGAAGCAAATCTCTTCAGCCATCCACTATCATATCGTATAGACTGTTTGGGAACTGGGAGTTTTCCCTTTGAGCTATCATGTGATCAGGGCAATTTCCATTTCAGGCATCTACTCCGTCCTCTACTATCTATTTCTTGACGTTTGTCAAGGAATGACAGCATCCCTGCCCACCCAACTCCAACCGATTCTCCCTGACTGATTAACCTCATGGCTCCCTCAGTGTTTTCCTCTTTTGTAGCAGCCAGGTACTCTTTATAAAGCAGGACCTTCCTTCTTGGGTGAGGACCTTTCTTCTTGGGTGAGGACCTTCCTGGAGTAGGGCTGACCTCAAGTTTCCATCTATTAATTGTCAAGTGGCTTTTGAATTAGTAACCATCTTGGTCCCAGTCACTTCCTCTAGTTCCAAAGCTAATTTCCCCATTGTTGCAACGGTGGTGGCTTCTGACAACAGCTACAAAGATGTTGTTTCCCATGGAGTGACCTGTAGCAGCTTCTTCTTCCCTCTGCTGGTCCTACGGGCAGGGGACTTGCTGTTGGGGAAACAGCTCGAGTCTCCTGACAGAGCCATGCTCTGCTTCCCTTGGACAGTGATCCACGTGGTTGTCTTTCTCTCAGGAAGCCCTGATTTTTCCCAATCTTTGGGGAGTCTGGAATCAGAGCACACCCTCAAATACAGGTAATGAGGGGGCTCACTCAGGTGGCCTCTGTTCTGTTTTGGGCAGTGACAGGGAGAAGCCATTCAGCGAATGTCACCCTTGCACCCCCCGCCCCCAAAGCCCGCCCCGTACTCCTACCTTTTCTAAAGCAGAACTGTCGGGTGGCCTTGTCTTTCCCGTAAACTTCCCTCCTTCAAAGAAACTCCAGATTTTTTTTCTACCCTTATAAAAATGCTGAGGCACAATACTTGCACTTAATACAGTTTCATTTCATTTAACAAACAGATATGTAGGGGGGCCGGGTGACTTCAAAGCGCTTTACATGTATTGCTTCATTTGACTTACTTCATAAACTTCTGTTTAAATGAAATGGAGTCGGGTAGGGGCTTTCAGGAGCGTGACAACCTCGCAGCCACTCTCCCCTTCTCCCCAACTGGAGAGCGGGAAAGGGAAAAAAGGAACTGAGCCGCTCCGGGGGGCCAGGCCACTTCCCACTTTCCGCAGCTGTCTTGCGAGGCTAGATCTAGAAGCAGGGGGTCTCCACCCCTCGCTCAGTACCAGTCGGTGGGAGGGTGGGTGGCTTTTTCCGGGTCACTGGCGCACCCTCTCTACTCCCTGCCACCTGCTACGGTTCCATCCCGGCTCCAGGCTCTCCGGAGGGCGTCAGGGAAATTCCAATCCTCCCACTCCCCGCGCGGATGTCGCGGGGGGGGGGCGCGAATGCTCTCCCTTTCCAAAGCCCAGCATTAACCAGGTTTCTTCTCAACCCCTGGTGACCTGAGCCACCCCAGAGAGGAAAAAAAAAGATAAATGGTTTTAAAGCTGTTTGTTTACAATGAACCAGTTGGTGAAACCGCATCCCTAGCGACACAGGCACTTTCTGGGCACCGTCTGCGCACGAGCAGACAATTGAAAGCCAAACAGTCGAGATGCCTCCTCGCCAGACCAAATATGGTCACAAGCGCTAAGCAGCCTCCTGTGGAAAGGCTGGCCTCGCTGGTGTCTCCCCGCGCAGGGGCGCACCCGGACCCGCCCTCAGGCAGAACCACCGAGCACTGCCGCGCTCCCGCGCTCCCCGCCTCGGCACTCGGCACCAAGAGAGGGCGCGGCACCCAGGACTGGCCCTTCCTCGGTCTGGGCCCCTCACCCGCGTGCCCTCTACCGCCCCCAGCCTTGGTTTCGGTCCACAAGCCCTTGATTAAACAGGCTTGGGCCACTTTCCCTTTGATCCCGCCCCCAAGTCCGTGGTAAACTCAAAGGAATGCAGATCTAGGGCTCCGCGGGAGAGGTCCGCACGACCAGCAGGAGTGGGTGGGGGGCACCCGTCTCCTCTTACCCTGCAAAGTACCCATCACGCCCAGGGCTTTCTGGAGCCGGGTGGAAGGAGGAGGAGGAGGAAGGGGAGGGACGAGCTGGGGCAGGCAGGCTCAGGACTTGGAGGTCATGCATAATTCAATAGCTCAACTTTCGGGCCCGCCTCTTTCCTGGGAGTGGGAGTTTGCTCCAAACTTTGTTTATGGGACAGTCCGGGAGCAGCGCGGGCCGCGCTGTCTGCTTCCCTCCGCCTCCTCACGGAGCGCGAGCGCCTGAGGCCAGTTCGGGGGATGTGAGAGCCGAAGCCCACGGCTTGCAGGCACCGAGTCGGTCGGTTGCCAGCCAGGCCCCGGCTCCCAGCGCAGCGAGCTCGG